TTTTATTCATTTTAATGTACCCCTCTAACACGTCTAATGATTTTAAAATGTATAGTTTCAACACGAAGAAAGTTCTTTTCGTTAAGTAATTTCATTATTACTATTCACAACATTAAAAGACGACAACAGTTATGAGGTTTGTGGAGGGTATGTTTTATAAAATTCATCGCTACAGTGCCCTGAAGAAGAGTACAATTTAATTCGAAACTTTGGCAAAAACAATTGTTTCTCTAAGATACATTGATCCTGTTACCCAACAGACCTTTCTAGAAATAAGTCGTTTGGATCACAAGACTATTTAGCTGACTATTGTCAGTATCCTAGTCTTATTCTTAAACACGATCCTGCGAAATCAAAAACCACTTTCTTTCACGACCTCTGAACAAAACTGGAACAAACATCGATTATATAATGGCGAATTAAAATCGCTCCTGAACTTGACCTTTGCGTTTGCCGCCTCAAAGTAAAACCGTACTTTCTCTCTTTCGAGGTTTTCGCCAGTTGAACTTGAAACAGAAAGCTTCATCGCGAGCTGTGAAAAACAACTCTTTTCACGTTCTGTGGTTTCATTCGTTTTTAATGTCATAATAATGCATCGGTTACGGAAGTACATCGATTTGGTTGGGTTTGAGCCATGAAAAAGTTGTTTTGATTCCCTTGATTAGTTCTATATAGCCTCTACGATTCGTGATCCAATCTTTTTACTGGTAGACAGGACTGGCATCAATTATTTTGTAGCAACAAAGAGTATTCTTCAAAAGATATTTTTGTGAAGAAGTCAATGCTTCTTGCGGAGTCAACTCTTTAGTGATTTATATAACACATCATTAAAATATACTGATGCCTTTCATGGTAAGATTCGTATTGTGTTACCCTCCATCTTCATCATGAGCTTTGATAAACGTCATATCATTAATGAGTTCAGAACCATGTCTCAACAGGTATCAGCACTATCAATGTTTTCTGAAACTTCATCGATAAATAATTTTGGTTATATTGGTGCAATATTTTCATCTATCTGGCAAATTGACCCTTCAGTTTTCTCAAATTTTATTCGAAACACTGCCATTTTTTCTTCAGAGAAACTGTCGACCATCAACAAGTGTTCGATTGATTTAATTATCAACAGAAAATCGTTTCTAGTTATACAATTAATTATTTCTGTATTGCCCAAAGTTTTGCTGAAATAGTCTATAACTTTTTGTCGGTATCGAGAATCCAGAATAAAGGTGCAATTTTTAGGTAAGCTGGGTTTTTGTTTGGCAGACTAATCTTGTAGAGTCGTAATCTATGGTAATCCTACATTCATGATCATTCAGGCAGTTGGTGTTGATATACTCTGCTCATTTCTGTTCGGTTTTGATGTTCAAACTTTGGGGCTTTGAACACTGTAAGCCAACACCCCTCCTTAGGGCCAACCAATTATACTTTACCTGGACCTCCGATCTGAAGAAGGTAGTCTTCTACTTGTGTTGTGGTTTCCTGGGTTTAAATCTTCTAAGATATCTTATATCCCTTTTGCGAGACTTGGAATCTGGTTCTACACTGGCTTTCTTACTGTATTTGAAATGGTGGATCTGCTCCAAAATTCTTGGACTTTGTCATCTCAACCGGAATTTCTTGAAACTTATTGTGGACATTATGTCCAACAAGTTCTCTACTTTGTTACTCATTCTTTCACGATCATTTTTATCTGCTACAGACTCCAATGATGCTATAAGAAATAAGTTCCCAAACATGAAGTACGAAGTTGCTGTTTTTATTGATTATCAGTTTTCGAATTTAGTTTGGTTTTTTGGAATATTTTGAACCTTTGAAGTGGAACTTTATTGTATGAATGAACAATATCGAAATATGTTTGGCCATTTCTTAAAATTTTTCATTAATTTAAATCCTGCAACCATAATTCATTTCATACTATAATTCCAAAATAGTAGGCACCTAATTCTCAGAAATGACTGATGTTTTGGCTTTATCTGTCAGTTGCAGTGGCGTACGGAAATTATACTAAACAGATGAGGAAAAATGACGATAAAATATATAGAATCATAATCTTGACAACAATTTACGTTTGCTACCAATAAATCTTCTGAAAAATTACTAAAACATGGAATACAAAATGTGATTCAAAAATAACGTTTTGATAAATACATTACGATCTTCAAGCTGTGTTCAGTATACATAATAATGTAATAATATGTGAAAAATTTTTAAATATCCAAACGTCAATCAAGTCAGTATACTGGTCCGCAATTAGTTTTTAGCATAACGACGTGTCCAAAAATGGATGATATCGATCGAAGTAACCGTTATCCGATGATCGCAAAAAATTGCAAACCATTCGTGAGAATGTCTTGCCATGGTTGAACAAAAACAAATATTATTATGCCAAGAGCATGGTAGACGGTCATTTAGTTCATCGAACGGTACTTAATTTTAATGGTACCAGGAGTGTTATGTACAAGATTGTTATGTATGTTCAGTAAAAACGTAATGAAAGTTGAATCCGAATTTGAAATGGAAACTTGTCAGGAACCTGAAGTGAGATCGACATCAAGGTTTTGGGCAATTTGAACTGTTCTCGATAATTGTGTACAGACAACTAGCGAATCCAGAATTTTATCAAGACGAAAAATAAAATCAATGAAATTATTCGAGGAACAATATGTTAGAAATTAGGAGGAGAAATTATCCTACAAAAAGTCATAACTTCCATCTATAAGGTGGAAAGCAAACTCCCTGAACTTCTCTGAGAAAAATTCAAAAATGAAACCTCATTTTCACAAACTCACAGGCCAAGTGAAATCTATCTATACTAATATAATATGTATGTATGTGGCTCTTTTACGCCTAAACGACTGAACGGATTGAGATGAAACTTTACATAAATACGGCTTATACATCAGAATAACATATAGGATATAATTTTCAAAGGTTTTGTGAGATCCCTGAGAGTTATCTTGGCGTGCGCTGCCTATACCGTTGGAGTTACATGCCGATAATAATAATAATAATATTTATTTCACTTGTTGAACAGTATGAAATCATTACAATAAACATTTGACATACAGTTATAAGGAAGACTAATGCTGCTTTGCTGATATTTAGTGCTAAATGATTTTTATCAGCCCATTCCATTATTTTCTCATTTATGGATTCTGTTGTTTCTGCAAGTGCTAATTACAAGCAGTTACCAGAACATTTGTATCGTCTGCACATGCAACTAAATGTACCTTTGAAAGACTATTTAGGTATTGTATCAAGTCGTTCGCATAAATAAGAAAAAGCAGTGGTCCGAGTATAGACCCCTGTGGAACTCCTTGCTTGCAGGCCAAGGACTGACTGTGAACACCTTGAATTCTCACTGTTTGTGACCTGTTCTCTAGATAGGACCTCATCCAATCTTGGGCAACTCCACGAACCCCATAGCGATGCATTTTCTGGATTAGTACATAGTGATCCACAGAGTCAAATGCTCTAGAAAAATCGATGAACAAATCACAAATTTGTAGTTTGTTATCCAAGGCTGTTACTATGAGATCATACAAAGCTGTTTCAGTGCTTTTATTTTGCATAAAACCATGCTGGTTTGTCGAAAGTAAATAATTTTTAGGAGAAACGATAGTAACTGATTTTTAATATTCATTTCGTATAACTTGGATATACTAGAGAGAAGACTTACCGTGTACCGTGATGAACCGTAAGCTACTAAACCTATAATCTTGAAATATGCAGGTAGGTTCTTTGTATAGCATTCAAAATAGGCTGTCACGAAACTTAATGTGACAAATCAAATTCTACGCGGGCGAAGGCGCGGACAACAACTAGTAAAAACATAAACAAATATAATTTAAATCGTATGATTAAGAGTTCTTTTGGTCTTTGCAAAACGGTCAATAACTTTTTGTCAATCGACCTGCATATCATTATGAATATGTGGAGCAAAGCATTCTTAGCATTCTTTCGCTATTATACGACCTATTAGACAAGCTATCATTTTCTCCGTGGTCACAAAACTTCGGTAATTCGGGGCTGCACTAACAAAAAAACACAAGGTATCAAAATAACACAAATTTTGATTTTCCTACCAGTATCACGTTATTTTTTTTGATATTTTTGTTGATTGTGAAATCAAATTGGGAAGTTCAATGAAGTTCTAGCCGGTAGCAACGTATGCTTTTCGCATTTCCCGTTTTACAAGATAATTTGTCTAGTATAAGAATTTTGGCATTGCTATTGACATTGGTACATTTATTCAATTTTATTTAAGGTCAATTAAAACCAGCACATTTGTCTCCATATATGGGAAAAGTCATCTAGTTCATATGTTGGAAATATATATCCATCAACATACACGATTGAAATAATCGTTCAAACCAGAGACAGTTTTTTAAATTTCTTTTCATACACGCACCTGGCAATTCATTTTCCTTGTCATTGGAAAGTGTCAATACCACCAAGTAAGAAACCATTATATGGTATCATCATCGACAACATAAGTAGAGGAATGTAATAACTTTTTGTAACATATCCACGACTGGTAGGTTCATTGGATATTCGTTAGAATGGCGATGATACGGTTAGTTTTCCGTATTATTGGACGGTCGCTGTTCGGGATTGCAAATAAGACGTGTTTCGCTTCATGTAACGGGTTCATTACTAATTCTGGCAGCTTACCACACCCTTTCGATGTTGTGTGCGAAAAGTATGAAATTTTAATCGATTCCGTGGTCAACGATTGCGAAAAATTAACGACCAATATGTATAGCATTTTTTATGCTGGTCAACAATCTAGTATTGAATTAACTTACACTATCACAAAGATAATAAGGGACAAAATAGTTGATTTGTAATGTATTTCTTAAAAAAATTGTTCTCTTTAAGATTATCTATGACCTCCCGCACTTGAGCGACCAACGAGCGGAAATATTAGAGTCTCCAAAGCAACCGCCCAATGATATAATAATAATTAAACTGATCGGTATTTTTTTTTGTTTCAGAACATTACGTGGCTGCAGACTCCAACAGTTCTTCAACAACAAAGTCATTCGTCCCTTGCAAAGTTTGCGGCGACAAAGCATCGGGGTACCATTACGGGGTCACTTCATGTGAGGGATGCAAGGTAAGCCCAAATATGAACTGCGGGATACCGCAGGAAAATATTCTTAGACCTATAATAACTATCTTTTCAAATCTAGCAAGAAACCAATTTAGTTGTGGGCTCTCGACATCACACTGTTGGCTTCAACAACATGAAATATACCGAATGATCAATGAATTATCAACTTATATAGATTTATTTATAAAAAAATTATGGAACAAAAGACAACACTATTTCGGAGGACTTGACGAAAAATATAAAAGCAGCCGGTGACCCCTTAGACTATGTGGATATTGAAGTTACGAACACCTTTATATTATATGACATAACATCATGCCGCTGCCTTGTTGTTATATATTGGAGTGCCTCCTTTATGTTGGGAGCAAAATTTTGGCGAATGAGGATATCTCAAACTGCCATGTACAGTACCAGAGGTGGTAGTGATCTGCGTCTTCCACTCTTCAGACTAACCAAATCTCATAATTCTTATTTGTATTTAGGTTTTAAAATGTTTATTGATTGCCAGTTTGGTTTCCAAAAGCAAAAAAACACTTCCGATGCAATATTTTCATTTCTTTACAATGTTTATTCCAACATAAATGACAAAGAAACAGTGGCTGCGGTCTTCTGTGATAGCCAAAGCATTTGATTGCGTGAATCATAAAATTTTTTTATGGAAACTCAATAGATACGGTAAAATTACTTGCGGCGTCCCACAAGGTTCGGTACTGGGTCCACTTTCATTCTTGATTTACATTAAAGACCTGTCGTCTGTCAACATTCAAGGAAAATTTACTTTATTTGCTGATGATACTACAATTTTATGGCATGCTCCTAACAACCATACGTTGTATGAAGTTATTGAGAATGACATCATGAAAGTGAAGGACTCGTTTGACTCAAATCTCTTGAGCTTGAATTTATCAAAAACAAAAGTAGTATCCTATCGTTGCCAGATCCCAGCCGTACATCTAAATAATATTCAAATTGACAACGTACCAACTTCTAAATTCTTTGGCTTGTTCATTGACAATAATTTAAAGTTCAACAAACATGTAGATACTTTGAAATCGAAGCTCTCCTCTGGATGTTATGCAATACGAGTAACTGCATTTGAGCTCGGATCTGCAGAAGCTAGAATGGTTTATCATTCCCTTTCTGAATGCCATCTTCGTTATGGTATTTGCTTTTGGGGTGTGTGTTCTACTACATGCCTTCAATCAGTATTATTGATACAAAAACGTGCAATACGATGCATATGCAAAGCCAAGCCTAGGGACTCTTGTCGGCCTCTTTTTGCCTCTAACAGAATCCTAACTGTGGTTTCCTTATTTATATATGAGACAATCTGCCAAAATTTTTCGTTGAACAATGAAGATACTAATGAAAACTTAATTTATTTTCCTTTTCCAGATGATATATAAACCAAATGTCTCAAATGTTTGATAAATAGCGATGGTGCTAAGTATTCAGTTATTCCCACAGAATGTGCCAAGTTACAAATCAGATAGCGATCGCATGTCACAAGAACTACACCGCCTTGTATACAAACAACATCCGCGGGCAAGCATTGAGAATTCATTTAGAAAACATAACTCTTACTTCGCCTCTTCAAAGACACAAACAGGTTCTACAAAAAAAAATCTATCCATAATCGTTTCACTAAAGTAACGGTACCGAAAGTACACAAATGATTTCCTTCTCAAAGGCATTGCCACGACATAAAGAATACTGTTTTATTTCTACGAAACTCGTTTTTGCGATCATTCTTGTTTCCTAGATTGGTCATTCATGTGCATGCATTCGAGTCATTCCTGTGTATTATCGCTCTTAGAGATAATGGTTGCGTATTTTTCTAAGCTTCGTAGTTGAGGAAAAATGTATGAAGAAACGCTGAACTATTCAGAAATGTTCACACGTATACTCAAACCTAAAATACATGTATACATGTATGTTTTTCAGTTCCCATTAAAATAAATCAAAGGGCGACAAGTCCGGTAACCGGAGAGACTGCGTCTGCCCCAATCCACTATCGTGGAAAATTCAAATCAACAGTATGATAAAGATCATTTGATGGTGTTTTATTTTGAATATGAAGAATACTGAAATAGGTTTCAAAGATTTCTCACACAAATCCCAAAATTATCAGGAAAGTAGTTTTTCATAAATATCAGAAAGTGTATCTATTTTCAACAAAAAAATCAATGAGTCTCTCCGTGTTCATTATAAATTGGCTGAGCTTGTGAAAATGTATCTGTTTCGTTTTGAATTGCCAACCCTGCATATTAGCAATTTCTGGACATTTGGCCACTTCTTTCATTCGTAAAAAATAGGCTGCACTTCAAATATAAATAGAAAAAGGCAATATGTGTATTCACATTGAAGATTCTGGATTTCATCTCAATAGAATCTGTGCTAGACATTATACCAGTTGGGCATTTATGCTACAAGAATCTTTATTTTATCAATCTGCCAAGAAGCACTTACAGTTTAGAAATCCTTCATTTTCAGTATAAAGTGACTTGAAACTGCTAAGAATTCCTAAAACAACTGGTACTAGTGAATTAAAAGAAACGAGGTAGATGTTCTCACGAATGAAGAAGGCATACAACTTCCTATTTTTGGGCGTTTTCAAAAATCCAACTAAGATATCTCTGAAATGGAGCACGAGGATCAAAAGGAAAGCTGGATAGTTTCTAGATTTGGACTATAAAACTGAAACTGAGGCGTCGGCCTCAGAAACATGCTTTGTAAGCTTCGGCGTGTTCGTACTGAAAGGCTGACTGTGTTTGTTATCTATTAAAATATACAATATGCAGCCACACAATATCAGCTCCAGCAACTCAACTCAATATTTGGCAAAGCCAAAATTAGACCATCTTGAGAATTAGGATCACATGGTTAACCTGAGGATGCTGAATTGTTATTATTACATCAATAGTTGAGCGTTCTAGTCGATTGAACTACATTATATTTGCAGTGTGAATCATATAAGAAATCAAATCAGCTATCTTTATGGTTACTTCATTGTGGTTTGCTCATATAAGATCGTGATTAACGATGGCCCGATTCTTTTTTGCTGGCTTGATTTGAGAATTAATCAAAACAACTGTTATTTAGTATTGTTGGATCCCATATGAAGTACAATACACTCAATCTCATTAAATGTAAGCAGCTATTTTTGACGCTATGTTTCAACATTCAACATCAGTAACAGTTAGAAAATCACAGAAGACATGTCTTTCATGATTTTGTGAGATTCAGTGATATGATGGGCGAATAATTCAGTATCGCCAGTAAAGAAGAACGCGTTTGATTTCATTAGAGACCCGGGTTCACTAATGAAGATATTAAATAGTAGTGGCCCTATTACTGATCCTTGGGGTACTCCACAGGTCGCAGAGTAACCTTCAGAGAGTTTGCCATCTATTCTCACCCTGTAACTTCTATTTGAATAGTAGTTCTCTTCGTACTTTGAAGTGATTCAACTTGTAGAGTAACCTTTCCGGGGATTATACCCAAGATAGAATTATTCCCTTCATTCCTTGAAATTTGGAATATTTTCCTCGTCTCCATATAATTTTATGATAGATAGTCTACTTGAATCAATCGACGCTTTTGATTGGGCAGAGCGACTTGAGCATTGTATTTGTAGTACTATGATGTTGTCCTTGGTAGTAAACTCTAGTGTAAGAGATTTCATTAGGTACATGCAAATATCTAACAAAAATTACTGAATAATAAAATCTGAAGAATGAAAAACACAGAAATATCTGTAAAACACGTTTTAACTTTCAGTGTAGCAAAATCCCAATCTTGGATCAATCCAGACACAAATACAATAATTGTTGATACTTATTTTCAGGGTTTCTTCAGGAGAAGCATTCAGAAACAAATAGAATATCGATGTCTGCGCGACGGGAAGTGCCTAGTGATACGATTGAACAGGAATCGGTGCCAATACTGCCGGTTTAAGAAATGCCTAGCCGTAGGGATGTCTAGAGATTGTAAGTAAATACTTTTTTCGAAACAACGGGGATCTTGTACGTGAATATTGAAAGAAAAATCAATGCTTCTTTGGAAATATTAAAAATAATGCTGACTTGAAATGAAACAAAAACTTCATTTCAATCAACCGTTGAATATAAGTAGAGTCGATCATCTTACTTGAGCCCCCACAAGCTAAAGCCTTATAACAACATTGGTAAGTCAAGAAAAGCCAAAAATTATCAGTGATATATGAAAACGATCCAATCATTTTATGTCAATAGATGATTTGATATAATATTCGAATATATCACTCTATCCATTATATTGAAACAGTCCAACGTTTTCCATTAATTAGATATGCTGCTATAAATAATGTCAGATCGAATTGAATAAATGATAGATGATATGTAGAGGACACTGACAGTTTTCCGGGACGATGGATTTATACATGTTTGAGAGGGAATTATTTGTACATTTTTTCATCATTCAAGATTGTTATATTTCTTGATGAAAGATTCAAATAGACTGATTCAAATTAATGGTAAATTTGATTTATTGTCTTGTAAATTTGTCTACATACAGTTTTGCATTCAGGTATTTGGGACAAATACCTAAATAACGAGTTCAATATCAAAATTTTTAGTTCAAAGTGGAAATTTCTTGTAAAATAACAAACCAATGAGTCACATTTTTTTATTATATTTCATAATTGAATAGAACTGGCCGATACTTTTTGAAAATCCATAGTAAAAACTAATCAATACAGTTTATTGTATGATTTTCACTATAAATTACAGTTTTCTCTAGAGTGAAAATCATACAATAAACTGTATTGATTAGTTTATATTTCATTGTAGAACAAAATTTCGAACATTTCCATTTCTATTTGTATAAATTCGAACATAACATTGGTACTAACAGAAACATTCTAATTTTTATTCATTAATATTCATGAGAATATTCGAGCAATTGCTAATATTTAAATGCTTTTTATTGAAGTCAGAGCAAGAAGGTGAATATTCTGTTTCACATGGATTGTTTTTATCTGAAAATTTTTGAATGGTCCTGACAATTTTCATTTTGTTTGTGTGTGAAATGTCTATATATCCTTCAGCTACGTTTGTAGACTTCCAGCCACCGTGTCTCTTCGAATTTGTCATGTTTCCACCATAATCAGCAAATAAATCGAACATTTTCCTTTTTCGTTAACCAGCTGTGGCACCCCTACGAACGACAAACCCTCAGAAGTCGAAACTTGTGTGAGCTAAGGACTAACGAGGTCTCACCTTTTAACGTGTGATTTTTAACACGAGTTGGAAGATAACAAGTTCAACCTGCGACCAGTATAAGATCGCCATAAAGATAAATATTGCCTATACACCAGCAGTCTTTCTGTCCATTTACAATAACAGTTCTCACAATGTATGTTTCACAATCTGGTATTTCCACAAGAAACATGTCATTCTTGTCGGCTAATCCAATAATTGTTGCTACCTGAAAATAAAGCAAATTGGGTTGATACTTTTATATCCTACAATCGTAATATTTGTTTTCAGCTGTACGATATGGCAGAGTGCCAAAAAGATCCAGGGAAAGGAGTACCGATGAACCTTCTCGAGTAACGACTTCAGATGCTGATCAATCTGATTCTGAAAGTAAGCAGTTGGCAGTATACGATGTTATCCTGAGCGTTTCGCAAGCACATCACGCTAACTGCGGGTGAGTGTAATATTTTTAAAGTGATAATAATAACAATAATTGGCCAGAGAGTTTAGTGGTAGGTATACAGCTTCCCTTTTGAGCCACTGACTTCAGTGGTTTATAGTCCCATAAATAAAAGATTCTTTCCGCAAAATAACTGTATTTTTTCTGTGGACACAAAGACTTTAAACGCAATTGTTTTTATGTTCTATTTGTTCGAAGTACTAATTTGTTTTTCTATCTACATTATCCAGAAACTGTTCATCCAAAACTACCTTACTTATATTCTGTAGTTTATAATTTATAACAAAACATGCATAGGCAACTGATTATACATGTTTACGCAATTAGACTTCCTACTATAAGACCATCCCTGAACTAGAACCTAGGCTACTCTTTACTAGATGGCGCCACACGCCTGATTTGAGCATTTTTAAATCTGAAATATCAAGACATTGAATATAGACTAACCTATTTTTTGTTATACCTGTAAATTCTCCTATTTTTTGTTGTAAAAAACTTGCTTACATCATCTTCCTATTTTTAGTGTTCAGTCTAACAATAAAAACAACCACTCGAGTAACTACGAACTATGTCCCTCTTTTTTCTATGTATACCAGCCCGGACAGACATTCAACTAAAAAAACAGGTACCCCTATGCAGGAATATGAAGAAACTGCAGGAATAATTAACTATTGACAATGACAACTAAAAATATTCAAATTTGTTGAATCTGTAAGCCAAGAAATTGGTTTTTGTTACACCCGAGCAAAACCAGGGCGTGACGCTATATACAAGAAATGAAACGTTCCAAAAGTTTTACTTGCACTACACAATACTTCTTTCATCTCCCCCTCGTAGTTCATTGTTCAATAAATAATTTCGGAACCCTAAATTCCAGATACACGGAGGAACACACAAGGAACTTGGTGAGGAAGCCGATAATCCTCCCACCGGCGAGCCCAGAGTCGGACAACGAGGTGGCCTCCTCGACGGCGGAATCCCTGGAGTTGGAAAGGTGTTGGTTGTGGCAGCAGTTCGCGGCGAACATCACCCCCAGCGTACAGAGGGTGGTGGAGTTCGCGAAGAGGGTCCCCGGTTTCTGCGATCTCGGCCAGGATGATCAGCTGATACTAATCAAGATAGGCTTTTTCGAAATATGGCTGTGTCACGTGGCCAAGCTGACGTCGAACACGTCGATGATGTTCGACGATGGCACCACGGTCAGCAGGCAGCAGCTAGAAACCATGTACGATGTAAGTGAATGGATCTTTACACATGTGTCACTAATTTGTAATCTAAATTGAGGGTCAATTTGGACATCATCGCCCTTATCTCTGTCTCAAGTCAATGTATATCTATGTTTGTACATACACAATATGTAACGTTTTATGTCCTGGTCCCCAGTTTTTTCTTTCAAATCCAGTCCTCAAAGATTCCAAAATTTGAACTTTTAGGACCATGATTAAGACTATGCACATGTTTTTTGAGCACAAATGAAGATACTTCTTCTTCTTCTTTATGTGAAAGCCTGCAAACACTGGTTGATGGGTTGATTCAGTTGATTGTTGATTACTGTTGATAGTTGGTGTTTGTTTTGATAAAAAGTGCGTGGATTTTTCTTCTTCGTCTGTTCACAGGCCGCACTTTGAATCGTACGCTAAGGAAATTAGCACATTATGGCCGATATCCATGATTTTAGATAAGATGCAGACTCTGATATGTATCTTTGTCGCCAGTAACGAAGTTACTTCACGACGTTTCGATTGTTAGTATTCACAATCATCTATTCCTCCGAGAGATGACTATTTATAGATTATTCAAGCGCTTTCACCTATCTCCTCTTTCCTCTCTCCGCTCCACCTGTTCAGCGGTAGGTACCGTCATTCCGCTTGATTACAGGTTTCCATATGTTGCGTATATCTACGCTAGCTTGACTGAATGCGTCGTTGAACAGCATATATGCAGCTTCTTTGAACTTCCTCCTAAACCAGTGATTCTCCTTGTGGATGATCCCACCGATCCACCCGATTTACTTATTACTCCTCGCTGTGTGTTTCTCTTGTGCTCGGACTTTCAATGGCCTCTTAGTTTCACCGATACAGGATTTGCCACACTCACAGGGTATCCGGTAAATACAATTCTTGGAATCGCAGTCCGCGTTTGGTGGCCCAGTTTCCTTGAGGCTGCTACGGATGGTGTTTCTGAATCTGAAGCAGGTTCTGATGTTGTATTTGGACCCAATTCTTCTTATCCTTTCTCCAATAACCCTCTGATCCAGGGAAGTGCAAGCACTGGTTGTGACGGCTTCTCTTCCTTGCCAGGCTCTTGCTGTCATCTAAACAAACTCTGTTCCACCATCACTTTGGAGCAACTATTTATGAGAATATTTCACTTGATTCCCAAGTGTGAACCTTTGACAAAATATAAGGCCATATTTTCAAACAACATAGTCAAAAACACGGTTATCGCAAGATATGTCTGGGGGCAATTCTTTGCCAGAAACTTTGAGTGAGGTGAACTTAAACCTCCACTTGCATGAACCATACTTCTTCCAAATTATGTATCTGATTTTTTCGACTGTTCACAGAGCGAGTTCACGTCATCCGTTATACATTTCGCAAACACCTTCAACGCTTTAGCTCTGAACGACACTGAGGTGGGACTGTTTTCGGCAGTTGTCTTGTTAACGGCTGACCGTCCCGGAATCACAGACGTCAAATCTATAGAACACCACCAAGACAAGCTTATAGAGGCTTTGAAGGTTCAGGTGAGTGATATGCTTTTCATTCTTCATTTCAGTATTTGCATCACATCATTTCGGGAGCAGGGATTATTCCGGGAGGTTTTTGAAATAAGGTTATAGCGATCGACTCTTTTGTCTCAGAAGTGGAAGAGAGCGGGAGAACCAACCAGACTTAACTTTCATATTCAAGATCATAAAACTGAAATAACCTGCTATTCTGTTTGAGTTTGTTCATAATATTTACATGCTATAAATCACCTGTTTCGAAAATTTCCAAGCTCTACTACTTCTTCTTCTTTCAAACCCAATTGTTACTTGTGATTTATGAAGCTTATTATTATACTCGCAGGTAGGAAGAAATCATGCCAGCGAGCCTCAGATTTTCTCCAATATGCTGATAAAGCTCCCGGAACTGCGGAACTTGGGGGCCAAACACACGGCCCACCTGAACTGGTTCCGACTGAACTGGACAAAGCTGACGCTCCCCCCCTTATTCGCAGAAATTTTCGACATTCCCAAGTCTGAAGATGATTTGCAGTGACGTCGAGAGACCGAAACGGTGTTTGAGATTATGTGATCGCCATAGATCTTGCTGTTCTATGCCTCTACTTGCTCAAAATAATGTGCTACAAGGCTGAATCGTGTGGAAGTAGGAAGTTTTTCAAAGAATCCTTTGAAAAAATGTATCAATCCATGATTGACAGGGTCTTCAAGCTGTTCGTTTACTTTAAGTGGTTAAAATATAGTTTATATCCAGATTTTTGACATATTATGTATACATATCATTCTGATTTATTTCGATATTTAGGCGTACCTTTACGTATTATCATGGTTGTATATAATGTTCAGACTCTTATTTTTAAATTTTGGTGTGGACGTTTGATTTTTGCAGTTTATATAATTAATTACTCAAAATCACTTTCGGTGATCCCATCAACTGAATAATTGAGGCTAGAAAGTCATGTTTTCAGTAAATGAGGAATATAGTTCGCTGAACTATGAAGAGTTACTTTTATTTATGCAGGCACGGGAAGTTTTTTTTTTCATTGAAATGTTCCTTTGCTGAGACAATACAAGCTTTTTGGTTTTGAAAATATTTGAAGTATAAATTTTCGAATGGGAAGAATGTTTCGGTTATTGTAAAAAACTAATAATATACCCAATTTGAAATCATGAAGCTACATATTCATAATATTGCTCTATGGAAACTTATCTAATCTTGGGAATTTAAAAATATTGACTATAAAGGATGTAAATTCTGCTCATCTGATCAACTATGCTAATGACACCAATCTCCTACTGACTGGTGACACTTTACCAGATATAATCAAGAACGGAAGTGAAACAATCAAAAAATGCAACGAATATTTTCTTGATAACAAGTTGATTCCAAATGAAGCGTCATATTCGAAACCAACAACAGGCCACATTACATAACACTTGGTAACAAAAAAGTGGTTTGCAATATCTCAGTGAGTTTCTAGGCATCGACTTTGATGACACTTTGAGTTGGACAATGGGGAATGTTCCTCAATTTGGGTTATTACAGCAAATGCAAGTTTGAACAAAATAAAGTTGAGTTTAATTCATGAGTTTTTCAAATTCACTTCGAAAAGTATTCAAATTGATGTTTCAAATGTTGGGTTTTGATTTTTAAAGGGATTTGTTTCTAATTCATATATTGGCAACAGCGCCTATATCAAGTTCAAATACTTTATATGTGCCTAGATATATTATCTTTATAAATCAACAATTAAGGCAAAATACAAATTATAGTTCAATACCACCTCCACAAGCCACATAAATAACAGTTGTTTTGTTATTTATTTATATAGAGGAAGATAGATTATGTGCACAAAATGTCATATGTCACAGAATGTCTCGGAACACGGAACATAAGTAAACAGAACAGCACGTCATCTTTGTTTGTCTCATACAGGTAACAGATTCATTGTCCTTTATTAGCTATAACCGATGTTGCCAAATGGTGAAATAGAAACGAATCCCTTTAAATGTTGAATGTATTATTTCATTCCTCTTTTTTAAGTATTTAAATAATTTTTTAAACAAAAAGATTGAAATGATAAGTTTAAAATGCGTTGTTTTAGAGCTCTTTTATGGAAACTACTTGATTTTCATCAGGAGGAACATTCCCCATTCAGATAGACAATAAATGCAGTAGATTGTCTTCAGTAATATATGGAATAAGAGTACTTAAGAAATATGTTGATCTCAAAATATTATTAACAGTATATTATGCAAATTTCTATTCTACCATGAGGCTAGGAATAACAGTTTGGGGTTCAAGTAATGAATTATGTAGAGTTTTTCTGTATCAAAAAAGATTGGTACGAGTACTTTTCTATAAAAATTCTAGGAATTCCTGTAGAGGAATTTTCAGATCAAATACGTTGTTCACTGCACCAGCAGTTTATATCTTTGAAACAATAAAATTTGTAACTGTTCACACGCTTTTCAAATTAATGTTCAGATAATGCAAAAATCCTTTTGAAACCTCTCTTCTCTGTTTTTATTTCAAGTTCTTGTACTCAATATTTTATTACATCTCAAATGATAAAGAGGAAGTACTTGATATCTTCAAATATTTCAAAAATATAGATTATAAGGAAATTGACTGCATTTTCTTCGATCTCGGAAATTTTGGAATGACTGACTGAAAAACAATAATCGCTTTTAAGATGGTCATTATGGTTCTTGCCAAATATAGAGATGTTTTTCAAAAGTTTTTATTTTAACTGACAATAATAAAAAAAAGTTAGCTCTTGTCTTTAGATGTGTGTAAAATCTTTGAATGGTACTGTCATCATGAAATATTAATCTCAAAACTAAACAATTTCGGCTTCGGGGAAAATATCTTCAAAGAAGAAGATAAATGAAAATATCTACATTGATTCATAAAGAAAAAAATTGTAATCAACATCGAATTAGAAACAAACATGTTGGTATAATTCCTGGCATTTATGAGTTTTCCTCACCCTGGAATAAAAAAATAATCAAGTAAGAGGAACAAATTACTAAATTAACCCAAAAGTGATACTGCATTTGAATAAAAATTCAGTTATATATATTTTCTAAGTGCTTCAATAACCAAAAACCTGGAAAATATTTCAATGATCAACTCTATTTCCTTTATTGAATTCTTTTAGAAAACACTCAAAAATTGTAGACAATTGTGATGCTGCAGGTTTTTCCGGGTTTTCCTGCAGCTGAAAAAGCAAATGCGCCACTGGAATCAATGAAGTCGCCCCGGAGCGCCAATTAATTTTTATTGTTGTTTTTATTTTATTTGTATCGTTGTTTTAATAAAATCTTGTTTACCTAAATTATATAAAAAAAAGACAATTGTATAAATTTCATATTCAAAATTGTTGATAATTTCACTTCGTATGAAATTTTCGCCGTTTGACCTCTCTTCTCAAAGAGATTTCCAAGTTTGATCTAAATTGATCGAGCGTAATGCCATATAAATGCCAGGAATAACTCATACACCTCCGCAAATAGCATTCAAACAGTGTTTTTGTATGTGACAAAGCTATTTTTAAGGTTTTTGGTCATAGTCTGCAGGTCTTCATGCTTGACGTTTCATCTACTACTGCGGAAGACATCAAAGCGTGGCTTAGTTTCTCTTAATTCGAAAACGTGACCTTGTTTGTGTTCAGTTGGGGTCAGGTAGCCATATTTTATTAATGTTCATTGCCTCTTCTTTTTTATTAAAATTATCCCTGTTTTAGAATTTCTATTGCCTCTCTATATATTCTTGGATGGTAATCATGAGTTTTCTCGAGTATATCTGTATCTTCAAATGGGATAATGTAAGTGCCTTTTTTTTTGAGAGCATGTTCTACTACAGCTGATTTGTCACTCTGTCCAAGTTGACAATTTCTCTTATGTTCTGGAAGACGGGTACCTATACTTCTTTTTGTGGTTTCACAAGAACATCCAAGAAGGTTGGAGTCTCTTGGGTCTCTCGTTCCATTGTGAATCGGATATTTGGGTCAAGAGAGTTTAGATATAATAGAAAATAGTTAAGTGTCCCTACACCACTTGAATATTTAGAGTTAGTTCATCTAAAAATACCATACCAACTATTAAAATTGAAAAACTATTTCTGTATGTTTTTCAACGATAAAAAAAAACAATTATCTTTTGTTTTTAATGTTCCTATGATTTTCCCAACAAAAATTTAGCCCAACTGATGAAATTGTGATATATAGAGAGAGGAAGAAGTTTTGTGGTAAAAAGGAATCGATAGCTTAAAGCAAATTTTTCAAAGGATCGTCCAGAGTGGTTTTGGAGTAAAATGTATATAAACTGCCCTCGGGTATTAAATAAATATAATGTTAGATTGTTATGAGAAATGTCGACGAAAGTAGGCTACTTGAACTATGCTTATTTGAAGTGAAAAACAATCATATCGCGATATATCACCTACCCTAGTTATCTCTATTGGGGTGTTGTTGTTTATATCTCTTAGAGTACAAAAAATAATTCTTATAGAATTACAAATTTTGATTATCATAGCAATTTCGTTATCAAGAGAACGAAATTCTCTTCAATTAGACGTATGTATATCATCTGCCAGCGTGTGAGAAATTATAATTTTTTTGATGTTACTGTTGCTGACATTCCAAATCCTTAACACAACACAGTATTAGGTAAGAAATACAGATACAATGGAGACCGTTTTTATTTGAGACTATTTCATACAGTTTTTGGTTGGTTTGGCTGGCTTGACTTATTCATCATCTCTTTGAAAAAGGAATCAAAGTTTCGATCACAGATTGCGATTTAAAAAAAAGGTTACTGTGAGTTTTTTCGATAAATTCAAATAAAAAAGGTTTCCATTTGTGATTAAAAATCTATTGGTACTGGTGTAATAAAATATACGTCAGTTCTAAGATACTCACTTTTATGTTTGTTTTTGATGTATTAATTTTATAAATGTTATTCTACATTTTTCAAAACGGATAAGAACATGTAGTGACCTATACTTGATACAAAATGAATGTACACAATTTCCATGCATATCCGAATCATCTATTTATTTTAACAAGTACCCAATGTGTAGTGACTGAATTACTTATTTGTTGATACTCGAGTTTTCACTTTTATATATTTTGATTTTATTTGTATGTGGATGGTGTACACATTTTCCAATTTTGTATGATTTTCATAAAAACACTTTCATAGCTTGCAAAAATATGCACTCTGCTCTTTAGGCTTTCAAATATAATGAACATTCATAGTTTTCAAAATTTTTTCATTTATAAATAGTTGTGTTTCTTGGTTTTCTCGATTTCAGGCAATTGATATTGTAATTACACTGAATTCTTTGAGTTGATAATATGACCAAAAATTTCAAAGGAAATGCATACAAGTGAATGATGTTTGAGAGAATCTACAAATGCTCTTCATAATAATAATAGATCTTTCATAGATATTTTTCGGAATTTTATTTCAAGTCCATGGAAGGTAGCCACGAACAGCATATAGATGTCCATTCAATGTTTGTGTGGCCAAATAATGGTCTTTTCATGGATATCCACAGGATGATGTAGATATCTAGTGACACCTTTAACACATTTGATTTTTTTTTGGTCCCTTGGAAGCTGTCTGACTTGTCCATTTAGTCCAAGTCTCCATAAAACACTACAGCCTCTTGGGCTTATTGCGTTTATTCTCCCGTCTTCTCATGACACCCATTCCATCAATCTCGTTCCCTATACTAGTTTGTATAGGTTCCGCGTTGGATGTTCGTCATATTCTTCTGGACGTAATTTTGTACGTCCATATATTGCCTGTCTCTTGTGATTTAGGGCCTCACATTCACATTAGATGTGTAGAGCTGTTTCTATCTCTTCGTTGCATAATCTGCAGCAGAGGTCTCCGTTGTACAGCCCCATTTTATTCAGGTGTCCTCTAAGCGGAAAATGACCGGTTAGTAACCCTGTAATTATTCTGAGCCGATCCCTACTACATTGAAGTAGTTATTCAGTTCCCTAATGACGGTTCTACTGTGTTTGTTGCCAGGTACTTTTGTCCAGTACTCTGTGTGCTTCTTATTGGTCCATGTCCTGATCTGGTTTTGTACCAATGATTTTGGTACCCCCAGAGCTGGTTCAGGACCTATGTATGAAGTTGATGATCCGTGTCTAGCGAATTCGTCAGCTGTATCATTACCTGTGATTCCTGAGTGCCCTGGCACCCAGTACAAAGGTAATTTGTTCCTGTTTGAAAGTTCATTCAGTTCTTCATGGCATTCCCAGACCAGTTTTGATGTCACCTTCGGGTTTGTCAGAGACCCTAGTGCGCCTTTGCTGTCTGTAAAAATATTAATCCGCTCATTTCTTTGATACTGTAGACTTTGATAAAAATGTACTTAGTATTTTGTGCACGTAGAATCTTTATTGTTTATGAACCAGATTGAGCATTTCAAGATTATTTTGCTATTATATTATAGAGTAAGAAAAAGATAATATTCCTCATTATCTTTATTAATATTGCAATTTTGAAGAATCAAAAATGAATTGTCTTAAAGAAATATATTGTTAATTCAGAGAAAAGTTATTCAGTGATGAATACAATATTAATAGACCATTATTCGATTGATCAACATCGCTATGAATATGTGTAATTCACGTCATTATTAGGCTTTCCAAACATTTCACAGAGTGGATCATCGTCAATTTATTTATATTCATTATTCCAATGCCTTATCCATTCATTTCGCTTCATGATTATTTATTTACATATATTTACTATTTTCGAAATAACAACACTCATTCTTGCATTCTTGAGTTTTTTCATGTGCTCATACCTAAATGATCTTTGATCTGATAATACTAAATAAATGTTAACATCGTTGTTATTACCTGTCTTGTTTATTCTATTGAAGTTTAAGATGTAAGGTATTGTTTATTCACTGAAATCTTTATTTTATTACCTATCATAGGATTTTTTATGTTTCATTGATTTCTATCACAATCTTTAAACATGTGAATATTCGAGAATTGTTTTTATTCAATTTTATTATGAACTGTATATTATTATAGTATCAACTGATTTTCTTGATTTATTAAATAAACCTAAGTGATGAATGTTTGTTTTCTTCTGAAACTTCAAAAAAGTGTGTGATGATGGTCTCACATTTGACCATATTAGTGAGGTTGAAATAATTCTTGCGATGGAGATCCATTTTCTTTTTTTTTTTTAGTCGACGAAGGCCGTTTTTTGCTTGATCCTGTTTGGCGAAGGTTCTACCTGTGAGAAAGTTATCGAAATGCTTAAAAAGATGGTAGTCGATTGGCAATAGGTCTAGAGAGTATGGTGGGTGGGGCAGAACGTGAATTTTCAGACAGTGACTTGTGAAGCATGCGGATGCGCATACTTCACAAGTCACTGTCACAATAGGATTCAGCTGTGATGGTTTGGCCCGGTTGCAGAAAGTTAAGTGAATCATACCAGCCGCTGAGTACCATACAGTAACCATGGTCTTTTTTTGAAGGGTTTTTGCCTTTGGGAAATGCTTGAGTGGCTCATCGTTGTCCAACCACTGTCGTGAACGTCTCCTGTTATCGTAGAGGATCCACTTTCCATCACACATGACGATTCGATTTGCGTAAAAGCAAAGAACAGACCTTGAAACGTGACAGTTTTTGTCGATCGTTCAAATCGTGGGGCACATACTTATTGAGTTTTTTGACCTTTCCAATACATTTTGAACCATCATAAACCGCAAATTGAGAAGTTTCAAAAGAGTCTCGAAAATGCTGAAACAAATTGTGAACTAATATGGTCTTTGAGACAAGTTTCAAATGTTGGAAGGAAACCTTTGACAGTTGATAAATGAACTGTTTCAAAGTCATCAAATTACGAAAAAAATAAAAATAAAAGTTATCTACAATGTGTAGTTGGTATGAATGAACAGAAATTTCTGGAAATGGTAGAAGAAAACAAGTATTAAATTCAGAGGGAATTATATGGCTCATTACCTGAAAACAGTTTCTCTAATTTTGGTGGGATACTGCACGGCACTTCAGTGGCAATGAAATCGTCCAGTTTCGATAAAAAAACTATCAGATAACATTAATATTTAGTGACTTTTGTACTTTAAATAATTCTCAAATATTTTCATTGGTATTCGTTTCTTCTGACTTCAGTTTCTAATAGTAATACTTCACCGTATTTTTTGGCAAGATGCCAAAGCCAGAATGACAAAAGGGAATAGCATTATACAAGTGTTGTTCATGATGAAAAATTTCAAGAACGAGGTTTTAATGATGAACGAGAACGGGAATGTTTCCTACTTATTCATCAAACTCAACCACCTGTTCATGCAGCTGCAGTTTCGTTAGAAGGTATCATCTTTCCCTCCAACCGATTTCCTGGAGTCTTTGAAGTCCACTAGATACTTGTTAGGACAACAAGAGGATTGTTCTGAATTCTTGGGGTTCTTGTTGAATACTCTTCGTGAGCAGAACAATAGCAAAATCAATACTCCCGACCGCTCTGGATTGAATGATTCCATACAGTCCATCTCGTCTTGTGTTTGTAAATCTTTTGCTGGAAAAATCTTCACTTGTTTACTTTGTAGTAAATGTTCAAGAGGTAGCGAAAACTTATGTGAATTTCTGGAACTTCATCTAGCGTATCCTAACATGAATAATAACCAGTCCGTGCAAAGGTTATTGTTAAATCATCTGAAAATGGAATTTTCAACAGTATTGCCAAACGTGCACCAAACTAACTGACTGTTATAAGGAAACAAGTATAGCTGAGGCACCAGTCAATCTAATAATAACACTGATGATCTTCAAACAAGACTCAACCTCTGACGGAAGCAAAACCACTATTATAATATTCATGCATGTGGTTCTGGCGTTGAATTTGGTCATTATTACGCCTTGGTCTAAGACGAAACGAACTGGTTTAAGTTGGACGGTAGTCGTGTCACGAAGTGTTCTGGCAATGTATTGAATTTATTGGAACCTCTGGAGACACCTTACATTTTGTTTCAAGAGAGAGAGAGATGACATTGGCAGATCAAGATCTACAGATGATGTGGTGCTGCAGGTTTTTCCGGGTTTTCCTGCAGCTGAAAAAGCAAATGCGCCACTGGAATCAATGAAGTAGCCCTGGAGCGCCAATTATTTTTTATTGTTGTTTTTATTTTTATTGTTGTTTTTTAATTACCGTTGTTTTATCTTCCATTCGTTACTTTTCTCACTGTTTCCATGAACACTATCTTTGGAATACAGTGGGGAACACAAAATCAAAAATGTTTGTCAAAATTGTTAATGCTATAATTGTTATTCTATTTTTGGTGTTTCTCTCGTATATTGAATTCTTGTATTGCCGGTATTATGCCAGTTGAACACCAAAAAACCATCACTATTGATTGGATTCTGTTGATGTGTTTGTTTTCTGCCTACTAGATGATGCTAGTTGATGCCGTTAAACCTGACCCACGAAGTGCTGCTGGCTTATGTTGATTATATTATCAGACTTACGATTTAGAAATAGCGAAGCAGATTAAATAAACAAAGTAGAAAGAAGTTGGTGATATACAGCCCTTCAAGTCATCAGCGTGTCTAAACACGCCTGTGTGTGTTAACAGCTTTAGGAACGTGAATGTTTCCAATGTTAAGGCAAATTCTCAAAAAATTCATAAGCCCCAAAAAAATAATTCACACAAGTGTGGTAGAAAGTTGAATGGACATCAAAAGGACCACACTCAAATAGAGAACGGAAAATATTTTGTTATCATAAATGGAATATGTATAATAAGTCCTAGTATCCCACCTCTTTGTCGATTTCGCAAATTTTTTTGAGGTTTTTGATTCGAAAATAATTGATCTCGAAAAAAAGTTTGAATCTCAAGAAAAGTATCGAGGTAAAATGTAAATTGGGCACTTCTAACGGCATCTTTCATAGACCAAATTTCTACTTCAACAATAAGACTGGAATTGTGTACTGGGTCCTTCTTGTAACTTGTAACTACCCATCCCTGTTATAAAGGTAAGCAGAATAATCTGTCAATGACCTCAGTAGCACTGCTTGTTCTGATACACCTCATTTCTCTTCCACTTTCTCTATCTCCTCTTGTTCAATGGCCCCCCTATGCACCCTCCCGGGTTGAGTGCTCTGCGATAAAGTCTTCCCCACACGGTTACTGTGTGCAGAACATCCCATTTCGTCTATCACCCCCATTCTTATGAGTGGATCTCAACCTGCTGATAGGCACTTCGGCAAGATTGACATATGACCTACTGCGGTCGAAAGCAAGCCTTTAGGTGCTTTTACTTTCTAGTGTAATATTTTATTGAATCGTGACTTTACTCAAATGTAATTATTGCATGGGGCCCCCAAAAACTAACCGTAAACAAGTGTTTCTCAGTAAATCTGCAAAAGAAGTGGTGTTGAAATCTGGTTAGAAAGTTTTTATACTTACCGGATCCGCCTGATAACCACTCTCTGAGGTGGTCTCTGTGTTTATCTCTTTCTCGGGATCTGGGGTCATCCCTATTTAATGCTTCGTGTAGATCGCGTAGCGCTGGATTTTCGTGCGATCGGATTCTGTCAAACACGTTTTCGCGTGTTCTCTAATATACGCGTACGCCGCTGGTCAATGTTATCTTAACGGATTTATTTCTTGAAGAAACGCCACTGGTGCCAACTGATCCGAGATTCCCTGATTAGTGCTGCCTCAGACGTCTAGTCGACTAACTAGATAATCGAAATGCACATGTCAGATAAGGACGAAGAACGTTAAATACAAAAGAGATAAAACATCAAGTGAAAATATGGCGGCGTAGAGGATCAAGTGGGGTTGGCTGACAACAAAATAGAAATAATTCCTTGATTTTAGTCAACAAAGTGCTTTCGAATTGAGGAATTAGCCTTTGTTTTTCTAAATGTGATGTGTTGTGTCGTTTTATTATGTAGTTAAGGGTGCTGTTCGGGTAAATCCACCCCTTCGGTGTGGTGTAGTGGACATCAATAAAAAACATCAGTGATAATTTCGAATCTTAAGGGTATGATTTCAAGCCATGGGTGCTCAGAATACCAAGGAAAGGACAATATCCAGTGGCACCCATTCTATAAGAACAACAAGAAATAGACCAAGACCAGCGAAAGATGGACGACAAATCTCCAATATTTTTACGGAACACAATGGTATGAATCATTCTATTTTGTTTTTAATGCACAAAATGAAGTGGTGCATGTTCATTTTACAAATCACAAATGCTCATGTTCATTAGGGAGGTCAATTATTTCATTTGGTAAAAGTAGTGCAACCTGTTCATTCGGCCTTCTAGATTTTCAAGTACTATCAATATCTTGAAGTAATTATCGAATAAATCGATAACAAACAAGATTGCGTTGGAGTATATTGCTGTGTTCGTCAATACTTGAAGTTTACAATAATATTTGCATTTGCAGTTTGCAAATACCTAAAGAACAAAAGTGACCAGCCGGCTGCTATTTCTAGGGGTTGCTACCAGGATTGCCAGCTGTGGGGAAAATCTTCATTTTCAAGGATTTATTTTGTGAGATTTTTGTGACGATTTTCAAAGTATTTTGAAAACATAAGGATTTTGGTTTTTTTTTTGTTTGTTGGAAGTCGTCTGAACTAGTTGATTATTAGAATTACTTGAATTCGAACTTATCTAACATTCTGACATATACATAATGAAAATATTGAGTTGTCAATGTGATTTTGGTGCATTTGTTTATATTATTGACAAAACTTTTGAGACGTGTGCAAAAAATATGAATACTTAAGAAAAGGGTAAAAGTTTATGTTTGTATACTATTTTCAAATTGAAGTGGGAATTTTTTGACATTTCTACTGAGTAATCATCAAAATTTGACTTGGCAACCCCGGCTGGTACGGTAGGTTCAAAGGCCTGGCAAGTTCATTCATGTCTGTGGTGTGTCATTTATCCTTGAAACAGTCCTTCCCCCACAGTTTCCCCTAATAGCACCGTCTGCCGGGATCAGTTTCTAATGAAACTAATTTTCTCTTCAGCGATTTTCCGTGTTGAAAAAGAACTGAGAGTCGAATCTGCAGTTGATTCTCGAACGAATCCCCTCTGATACGTTTGTTAGGTAATTGAATTTAATTGCCTTTGGTAATTAATGAGCTCCTATCAAGATTTTGGATAACACTGTGCTCCTTGAACTGTGTATATTCACTGCATTGACTGAATATATGTTTGTTAACACCCAATATTTGATAAAAGACAGTGTAACAAGAACATATGAGCCTTCTTCTCAACGAATATAAGTATTTGTTTGGTCAATTATAGGGAAACAATTTTGTCTTTTGAGTAGATTTCGAAAGTATTTGTTGAGTTTGACAAATATTGACATGATTTCATGTGTGAAATTTGTCCATAGAAATGTCCACATTCCAAAAAATTTTGAGAAGAAACTACCAACAACAATAGATGAAAATAAACATTGAATTATACAAGAAACACTTTTCTCTACTCAGTTGATATTCCAAACATTTGTTATGGAATTGAAAGAGATATCATTCACAAGATTCCTACACAATATACTTAATGAAAGGTAAACATTTCACTTACACGGAACACTGTCATCCTCACTGGTAGACATCGATGTTTCGCTGTAAGACACTTGCGTCAGGGCTCTTCAGTACCAATGTGGTTAACATAATTCATTCATGAAATGACGACTTTAAGTCATGGAATAAGTTTGATCTACTAATGTCATCGATGACATCGTAATGACATTCATACGATTATTTGATTAAATCCCAGACAAAGGAATCTTGTTTATATTGAAAGAGTTATGTTATTGTTGAGTTCAATATTAATATTATTTCTATTTCTATAAATTAAAATTATTATTGAACCAATTGTTGCATTTTGAGTAATCAAAACGCACAAGTGACAATGTACATTGCCACATACATTTGGCTTTTTCTTTATTTACAGAATTTCATATACATCTGTAATTTATACTAAACAGAATACTTTACTAGTAAATAAAGTATTCATTCATTCATATTGTTCGGACTAGTCAGTCCTACTGTGAATTCCTTTGATGTAAAGTCGAAATAAACCAGGAATCAAACGTTTCAAGTCAATATCTTTATTTTATAACTTTTCAAAATATTGTCAATGTCAAATTCGTCTTTTTTGTATAAACAAATCCATTATCAATTATTTTAACATACTAAGCGAACAAAAGTGAACAAAATTGATTAAAAACAAAAAAATTCTCCCCCTTGTGATGAAATCACTGTATTTGACATAGTCTTCAATTCATTATCGTTAAGAACCACTCATCAATTTACAGATCTTTGTAACTGGCCGTTTATAGGTTCCTGATTTTGTTTTGACGTCCACAACTCTAATCTTGTCATCCTTTCCCCTATAAACATTTACAATTTTCCCAAATGGCCACAAATTCCTTTGTAATGTGTCGTCAATGACGAGTTCCACATCGTCCTCCGATAAGTCCTCCCCCTTCTCATACTACTTAATTTGTTTATTCAGTGTAAGTAAATATTCTTTTCGCCATCTTCTCCAAAATATATCCGCTAAGGCTCGAGATACTCTTCACTGTTTTCTCAAGTTCACATCGACTTCCTCAAATTTTCCCAATGGTGGTGCAGTTCCATTTGAACAGTGCATTAAAAAATGATTTGGCGTAAGGTTATCCGGCTCGAAGGACCAATGTTCGGACTAGTCAGTCCTACTGTAAATTCCTTTGATTCAAAGTCAAAATAAACCAGAAATCAAACGTTTCAAGTCAATATCTTTATTTTATAACTTTTCAAAATATTGTCAATGTCAGATTCGTCTGTTTTCATTAACAAATCCATGATCAATTATTTTATAAATGTTCTTCAAGGAGATTTCGACAGTGTTTTTGATTTTGTGGCAGACCTTGAGAAAAAAAATCACATCATACTAATTTACACCTCCTGAAGCCGAATTTTATTTGTCTCAGATTTCCTAAGCAATAGGTTGGCAAATATCCACAGGAAAGCAAGTACTTTACCAATCTAATACCACGACGGGTGTTTATACTATATTACATCCGGCAGAAATATCTGTAAGATTTCTCGCAGGGATCATTTTTGAAGAAGCTTCTTATTTTTTGGCAACAGCAATTACCTAGCTGAAATTCGAGTCTTTATCTACAGAAAAATTATGCAGAATAGATTGAAAAAACACTTTTACGACAATTGTTGAGAAATCCAAAATAGCTATTTATATAGCCCAAGATGTAGCAGGTCAGGAAAAGTTTGTTTACGAGATTTTGTCTAACCTCACTAAGGCGATCTAACCTTATAAAAGAATAAACAAGAAGATAAAACGTTCAGTTTGAGTATACCCATGAAGATGATAGCACAGTCTGCTGTAGAAAGCGCGCGCTGGCATATAATCATCAGAAGTTATACGTGATATACCTTTACTTGGAGGAGAACCATTTTTATTATACCAATCACCACATAAACACTCTGGAAGTGTTAAATTTCAAACAGTTACCGTCACTTATATCCCGTTCCTGGTCTAGTTTTTATGGAGGAACTCTCGTGGGTGGCAAACGCGAGTCGACGTTCCAGCTTTGCATGTGGTAAACATCAGTAGCGATAATTATACGAGGAGTACCTTATATTTATTATAGGTACTGTTCCTTCTTCAAAATCACAATTGAACTATGTGGAAATGGCCGACAATCAATGAAAATCCATAACCATTTCAAGTGACACTTTATTGAGGGATTTTCACTGGAGTCGTATTACAAAAACGCAGAATCGCCGGGTGTTTTTGAGCGTAAATTTAAGGAACTCTTAGTTAGAGAATGCTTTTATACTATTGAGGGATTTGAATCTCTTCTGTTTTGATATAATATCGAAAGATTTCATGATTTAAGTTGATCATCATTGTAGTAACTTCGTATTGTTTCGTTTTGTCTTGTTGTAATTTTTGTTTGTCAACTAAACTTCTTGTAACACTGACTTGTCTTATCTATTGTTATCGATAGTTGAAAGGATCAATAAAGTAATTTTATTTAATTTTTTTACAAAAACGCAATACGTGTTTCCCCATGCAATAGCTTCCCTAGGCGGGTTCAAACTGCCTAAATTATGTTTAATCAGTGCTTTATATTTCAATTTGAATCATATTGTTGCAAGTGTTTCTTGAATCACAGTCAGACTTTGTTTTCCTTTCAAAATGAAAATAAATAAATACTTTCTGAGATTTTATACCTGCTGGGGAGACCGCTAAAAAATCTGCACCATTTTGAACACTTTTTTAATAGTGATTTCTAAAAAATTATCCAAGAGAAAAGTAAACTCAACTAATTGTTGAGTCAATTGAAATAAATAAATCATTAATTTCAGTCCCTCGCTTTTTCAGTTGCTCTAAAATTTTCGATAACTAAAAAAAATTACGTCTGTAATCGAAACCAATTTGAAATATGCTTAATGTCAACTGACGGAGTTCAATATCGGAGTTAATGCTATGCAATCATGCGGTTATTACAGTTTCGATAAAAATCAATTCGTTTACAATAAATTTGAATATAAATCGAATGAAAGTTGACGTTGTTGATTAAAACCAGTACACAATGAAGTAAAAAATAGCGTTGAATGGGTGTAATGTAGAGATAAAGGCCTTTCAAAAAGACCTGTTCGTGTATCATTTCAGATAAAATCATTTATAGTGTCCGCCAAAATGTTCACCCAGTTTGAGTTTGTGAATTATCTCGGAATTGACACTTTTGTAAAACTATTGTATCTTCGGTTTGCTCTTAGTTGTACAGTGTCACTCTAAACCTAAAGAGCTGATTGGTATTTACAACATCTTTCGGTATTTCGAACATAATTTTTCAATGCCGCGGATATGAGATATATTTGCTTCTCCGCGGTATCAGCTGACTAAAATTAATAAACCGCAAACAATATCACAATTTCTCAGAAGTCCAAGGTCGAATATTTGTAGATTATTAACAGCTAGTCAGTTTTTAAAACATTGCCTTAATTTGGTAATGAATTCGAGTCTTGCTGTCTTTGAATATACCTGCCATTGAATTGAATGAATTGTTGATTTTTTTTTGAATTTTGAATCTATTCAGGTAGAATATTTCTCCGAATAGTTTTATAATATTTCTTGAAATAACGAAAGTTG